GGTTACTTTTCAATTAAAAATAGCTTATGGGTTTTTAAAATACAAAAACAACACACTTTGATTATGCCACAATTTTTAAAGCTAGATAATCAAAAAGAAAAAATTTTAAATCTCGCATGATCACATCAGTGAGAAAAAGAAAAGGAAACACAATGTTAAGAGCTTAGAATAAATCCCTCCAGATTTCGTTCTGTGCATTGACACACATTTTCAATAAAGACAGGATTAGGTCTTCCGGAAACTACTTTCTAACACAACAGCCTATCATGAGTGCATTTGCCTGCCAGTAAGTATAAATCTGCAATGTAATTCTAATGGCTGCCTGGTATTTCACTACAGACAGACCAGTGACTTATATAATTAAACCCTACAGTTGGGCACTGAAGTCGGTTCCATTTTTTTGCTACTTTTCATCGTTGTATCAAAGACTTCACATGCATCCTTCATGATTCCTTTGGGGTAAATTTCTAGTCTTGCTGGTTCAAAGGTACACATACATTTTAAGGCTTTTGACATGTGCTACCACTCCATGCACGGATGTTGGAAGAGCATCTTCCTGAGACAGGAGTAGGACATCTGATGTCCAGTGAGAACCTGTCCTTGCTGCAGTGACATTCATCCAATGCCAATAATCCTTGGCCAGAAAGGACAATGACAAGTTAATATATCGGCAGCTGGTAGCGTGTCAGGCATTGGCGGGGGTGTAATTGGACAGAACTATGCCAAACAAGTGGCCACCTATTCTTCCTGTATGTGGGGCAGAGATGAAATTGGGAACAGGACTCAACTCAAATGAGGTTGAACTGTTACCCAGGGCAGCGATTTTCACCCAGTGTGCCACAAGACTTTTAAAAGCATGCAATACCTGACTATTTAGCCCAGGGCACTCTTTTCCCTGAGATTGTCAAATTAAAAAATGACAACAGCCAACACCACAGCCATCTGGTGTGACTGAATTGAAATGATACCTTTTTGTTGCTGTTAGATTGGCAAAAAATATATTTTTTGGTGTGTGGCAGCATTTTAGTAATTAGTTGACGTGCATCACAAGATGAAAAAGGTTGAAAATGGCTGGCCTAGGGAAACAAAAGGACTCCTCCCACAAGGGGCTCAGAGCCTCCCCATCCTACAGTGACCCTGGGAACTATCTCCCCTGCCTTGTGCCTTTCCTGCAGGAGACCTTGGCCACAGCCTGTGATAACATTCAGAGGATACGGGCCGACATGGGTGGCACCAACATCCTCTCCCCGCTCAAGTGGGTCATCCGGCAGCCAGTGCACCGAGGCCACCCGCGGCTTCTCTTCGTGATCACAGACGGGGTGATCAACAACACGGGGAAGGTGCTGGAGCTGGTGCGAAACCACGCCTTCTCTACCAGGTGGGCACAGGCTGAAGGCCTGGGACATGGTTATCCTGGGCGGCCCTGGGCTGAGCTGGGGTTTCCAGAACCCAGGCCATGTGGAAAATGCCAGAAGGACAGGAAAGAACCCTATAATGCTTTGCTTCCAGGGTGGTGTGGCTGGCTTCAAGGTTTGCCTTTTCCCCTCAAAAGTTCAGGAGGGATGAGATGCCCACACTTCTGTATACAGCTCCCAATGAGCAGCTTAGGAAGAAAGAGCCCTTCTAGCTGCTTTGGCTCTGAGCTGGGTGGACATCATGGGCTGTATGTGAATGTAAAGACCCATTGATGGCCCCTCTTCCCCTGCCCTTAGCCTGAAGCTGGGCCAGCTGTGAAACAGCTCTGCTGGGTCACACTCTGTCCCTTTCCCCATCAGGGGACAGAGATGGTAGAGAGGATGGGAAGTAGCAGCCTCTCTTCCCCCAGGTGCTATAGCTTCGGAATTGGACCGAACGTCTGCCACAGGCTGGTGAAGGGGCTGGCAACTGTGTCCAAGGGTAGTGCTGAGTTCCTGGAGGAGGGGGAGCGGCTACAACCCAAGGTAGGTGGAAAGGCCCCAGTCCCTCTGCTGCTGGACCCTCAGAGGCCCAGATTGGTCATGCACAATTCAGGGGTGGAGCTAGGGTTTCACCCCAAATTTGAGCTCTCCACTAGGCCACACTGTATCCCAGTGAGAATCAGAGCGGTGGAAGCCACAAAGTAGGCAACTCCAGAAGCTCCTACAGGACACTAAATCCCTGGTCTCCAGCCTCCTCGACCTCATGCTCCACGCACTGGCTGGGCAGGATCAGATTCTGGAAGAGTCACTGCCTCGATGCTTTTGGAGTTGTGTTTGGGGTCATTTCTGGCCACATTCCTGATGGTGACAAATGGTGGCTCAGAAGGATCTAAAGGGCTCAGAAATCAAGAGGATTATAGTCTTCTCTCCATTTCCTGCACAAGTGGCACAAATAATCCAACCCCTGGAAAATCCCTGAGTCGGTCCAGGGACCAGAGACAGAACTGGAGTTATAAGTGCAAGAATTTATTGGAGGCTAATGTCTGGGAAAGAGACAAGAGGAGGAAACGGGAAGGAGAATGCTCCAGCCAGGATGCAGAGGCAACACCTGTGAAGGGAAAGGGAGGGAGAAGCTTCGGGCAGGGAGAGCCTCAGATTGGATGCAGGTCTGGCAAGGTCTCAGCAGAGCCAATGGGAAGCAAAGATTGCCCATCAGGTGGTCTGTGTTGGGCTGAAATGCCAGGCACTGGAATCCCTGCCATGCTCAGTCATTGCCTGGGGGCTTCAGGGAGAGGCATGGTTTAGGTTCAGAAGCTGGGACATTGCACCCAGAGACTGTCACCTGACTGTCTCTCTTGAAAGGGAGCTTGGAGAGTGCGCCTCTTTGGCTCCAACAACCCCAGAATCACTTTTCTCCAGCCTTGCAGTACATTTGAGGAAATCAGCCTACGTGGTGCCAAACTATAGCTGTCATTTACTGAACACTTATCAAGTGGCATATACTTCAAATCCAGTATCTCAGATAATCCTCCCAACTACATCTAGAGTTGAGAAGGACTGACTCAGTTTAACAAGTGGGCGAAATGAGGCGCAGGAAAGCAAATTGACTTGTTCAAGATCACTATGTGGTCCATGCTTTTGACACACACTTACTATGTGCCCTGGACTAGCCACAACACTCCTTTGAGTCTTAGATTCTCTCATTTGTAGAAAATCTTCTTTGAGAGGTGACAAAAAATGTGCCAACTCTGACATCCTAGGAGCCCAAGAAGTAGCATGTTCACTGGTGGGCAAGCCACCCCAAGGCCTCTTGTCACGTCTTCCCTGCTCACTTCCCCGCGTGGTCATACCCACCTGGTCTTGGTGCTGCTCACCTGGACATACCCCTACTCACATATCTCCGCTACCTGTGTTCTGATTTTGCCCAACAGATGGTCAAGTCCCTGAAGAAGGCCATGGCCCCAGTTCTGAGTGATGTGACTGTGGAGTGGGTCTTCCCTGAGACCACCGAAGTGCTGGTCTCACCTGTCAGCACCAGCACCCTCTTCCCTGGAGAACGGCTGGTGGGATATGGCATTGTGTGTGACGCCTCCTTATACACCTCCAATTCCAGATTTGTAAGTATCTTAGAAATGCCAGGGGTCAGTGGGGGTCCAGAAACATGCCCATAAATCATCATAGCTGGAAAGACTGATCATGGCAGGAAGGAATGAGTTGGATCTGGGTTTGCGGTTGGGAGGTATAGCTGCCAGGCCGTGGGCATTCAGTCATCGTAAGTGCCTGGGTAAATGCTACCAACTCACTATGTGGTTCTCAAGATGGTTTTCTGCAGAGGGATGTGGGAACATGTTTAAAATGCAGAGTCCCAGCTCCAACCTAGGTCCCTGAATTCAAGTCTCCAAGGTAAGGCCCAGGGACCTTCATTTCATATGATCTCCCCAAAGTGCTTTTGATGAACAATTTAGTTCAGAACAACTACTCAGGTTTCTTTCCCCGAACACTCTAGTCAGGTTGTAGCTCCTTAAATGAGTTTGTGTTTTATTTACTTACACAGGTAATTGTTTCTATGTGGTGGCAGAAGTGGGATAAAGTGGGGAACTTCTGGGGGGGGGGTGGAATTTATGCTAAAATGCGTGAGAGTGCCTGAGAAGCTATTTCTTCACTCATTTTCTCTTTTTAGTGAGTCTCTCCACTGCCCCTCAAAAGACATATCAACTTGTTTTGCTTTTAAGCAAGAGTCACAAACTAATGCCTAGAGGGACTGGGCAGATATAAAATGAGTGAAATGGATTTGCTGTAAAAATAAAAGGGGCAAATGCCATGAGGGATAGCAGTTATCACTGAGTTCATAGAGAGGCAATAAGGAGTGGTGAGGAGCATGGCAAACTGGATAGTTCACTCCCTGTTGAAACTGGGCAGCCCTTACTCAGCTCTAACAAATTGTGGCTATGCAGGAATGCAGGACCTGTGTTAAATGTGTTTCTCATCTTTCAAAAGAAGTTAACATTTTACATAAAATTTCCAGATTTTAGAACGTTATGAAATCTCTTAAGAACCATTGTCAGTAATGGTTAGTGTGTTATGGAGAGTGGATGTTATGTTATATTTAGAATGTTATGTTCAACTCCAGGGAGAAAGTGCTCTACAAAATTCTGGTCAAGTCACTGCACCGTCCAGGCTCTTCTTGGAGGTGTGGGAGGCAGCAGGTCACCAACAGACCCACCGCTTGAAGGGACCACCATTCCCTTCTTTCCTTACCCATGAGACTGGCAGTGTTTTCTCTGCTACTAGCAGGGCTGTTGGGTGAAGGGAACCCTTATACACTGTCGTGTAAACAGCACTTACCCTCCTGGAAAGTAATCTAGAAATACCTAAGGAAATTAGAAAGACATAACTTTTCAACCCAGAAATCCCTTCTAAGGATCTAACATAGAGAAAGAAAAGTGAAATAATGGAGTCACGTCCAAGGATTTATTGCAGCATTTTTTACAATGGCAAAAATATATGGCCACAACCCACCTCAGAACAAAAGACTCACACAGGCTGAGAAACAAAACAAAAGAAAACAAAACACTTCTGGAGGACTTTAAAGGCGAGATAGACAGTAATACTGTCACAGTAGAGGAATTTAACACCCCACTGACTACTGGATAGATCTTTCAGACAAAAAATCAACAAGGAAACAGTGACTCTAAATGACACACTAGATCAGATGGATTTAACTGACATTAACAGAACATTTCACCCCAAAGCTGCAGAATAGGCATTCTCCTCAGTGCACATGGGACAGTCTCAGAGATAGACCACATGTTAGGGCACAAAACAACTCTCTACATGTTCAAGAAGATGCAGATCATATCAAGCACCTTCTCGGACTTTTACACCATGAAATACTATGCAGCTGTAAAAATGAAGGATCCCTCACCCTATAAGACAGCATGGTGGGACCTGGAGAGTATTGTGCTAAGTGAAATAAGCCAGTCAGAGAAAGGCAAGTGTCACATGGTCTTACTCATATGTGGAATCTAATGAACAAAATAAACCGATGAACAAAATAGATCCAGAGACATGGAAGCATGGAACAGACTGAGGGATCTCAGGGGGAAGGCGGAGTGGGTGGGTGGGGAGAGATTAACCTAAGAACTTATATGCATGTATGCATGACCCAGGGACACAGACAATGTGTGGTGGAGGCCTGGGGGGGGGGGGGCAGGATGGAGGGGATCAATGAAAAAAACAAACAAACAAAATATATGGTCACGTATTGATGGCCCCCCCCTCAAAATGTTGTTTGATGTCACATGAAGCAGGAAAATATTGTGAAAGGCATGATTACAAATAATTTCGTAACAAAAATATGAATTTCTCATCAAACAAACTTAATTATTAAGAGGGGGAAGCTAGGTTTCTATTTTATTTTTAAATTCCAGCCCTTCATATACTTCTTTCTCTAGTCCAAAGGCCCACATACCCTCCCCAGAGCTCCCAAAGTATTATTTAGTAGATCAACAATAATATGTACCATAAGACACTATGGTCTCACATATTTATTTTAATTGAACTGATTTTTTAAAAGTGATGTTCTACTCCTCTTTTCCTATGCTACTTGTCCTTTTCCCTACACCAGGTGATTTATACTTTGGTTGTCTGATCAGGTCTGAGTTTCTGTTAAAGGAACGACAATTAACAGCATTTTCTCTGTGTGTGTTTTGTATTCTCTGCCATTAGCTTTTATCTGTCAATGAATGACACACTGGCTTTTTGACTGATCGGACATTAAATATAAATATAGCCACAAAGTGAATACTTAACAATAGGAGTGGGAGGATATTGTGAAGGCGACTGTTTAAAAGAGTAGTTGACATGTGGGATTTCCAAAATGTTTCACATGCAAAATTCAAGATACTGCTCAATATAAATAACGTGGTCCAGTTTTTGTAAAACAAAAATGACCCCCAAAGCCTTTATGTTTTATATATATGTTTCTATTATGGAGAATGGAGTAGAAGGAACAGACGGTTGATTCTGTTAATTTTGGTGACCTATTTGGAGACAGCAGTGACACTGAGAATTACATTTTTAATATTTTTAATAAAGAAGATAATTAAAAATATAAACAATATAAGTGATATGAAGTCTTTCCCATTCGCCACCTCTTAAACAGAAGGCTGCCTACATTCCCCAAGCAAGGAAAACAAGTTTGTATTATTCCAGCTCTTGCAAGGCGGGGTCTCCACCGCCTCGCCTCACACTGCCTGCTGCTCTGTGGCCGTCCCTCCTGACCCCTACCCTCACTCCTGGCCTTTCCTGTCCCTTCCTCCAGGACAAGAGGCGGCGATACAGCATGCTGCACTCTCAGGAGTCCGGCAGCTCTGTCTTCTACCATTCACAGGATGAGGGGCCTGGCTCAGACAGTACAGACTGTGCCAAGAGCCTGGGGGCGCCCCTCAACCTGAGGCAGGCCAAAGAAGGCCCACTATCCAGCGGCGACTGCACCACCAGCCCGGGTAAGTCTGCCGCCCCTGGCACTTCACTCACTTCTCCAGAAGCCGTGATTGACACATTTTACTGACACATTTTACTGAGCACTTACTATACGCTAAGCACTTTACACAAACAATCTCACTGAGTAGTTAGCAGCTGCAGAGGTGGGTACTACCTATTTTACAGATGTGGAAACCGAGCCAGGGGCCTCAAGCGACTTGGCTAAGCTCATGGGACTTGAGAGAGGTAGAGTACAGATAAAAAGTCGAGACCCGTGTGCGTCCAAAGCCACTTTATGGTGTCAGTTCCCACTCGGAGGGTATTCACTGATCACCTACCAGGACTCAGTACTGAGCAGAGTGTGGGGAGCAAAGGTGGCTCCAGCATGGCACCTGTTCTTCAATAGCTCCCCGTCTAGGGAAAGAGACACACTTGGCCTTAATTCTGATAGAAAGCAGAGTGACATGGGCCCCCGGAGGTCCTAGGCAGCAGACACTGCCTGAGCAAAGGTGTGGAGGTGAGACACAGCTGCTATGCTTGGAGCACACGGAACCTTGAAAAGGGAGCAGAAAGGAGAGCAGCGGGTGACAGATTAGGGCCCAGGCAGGCAGGGCCTTGAATGCCAGGAAAGGTGAGGCACCGAACCTATTTCAGTAGGCAAGCGGTGGAGTACTCAAGAAGTGTCCACACATGACAGGGGGTGCAAGCCCCTCACTCTTTGCCCACTGCCCTCCTCCACTGGTGGCCCCCCGACCACCACCCCTGTCCAGGTGTGGACCTCTCCCAGCGACGGCGGGCATATAGCACCAACCAGATCACCAACCACAAGCCCTCCCCAAGGGCCACCGCGGCCAGCGACCCCACGATGGCTGCCAGGAGATACCCACTGCGAAAAGCTAAGCTGCAGGACCTCACCAACCAGCCCAGCCCAGATGCCCCGTGGCGGCAGATTGATTTGCAGGTGCCCGGGCAGGGCAGGTTGGGGTGGGGGGGCCTATGGGAAGGGGTGGGCTGTGTCTCCTGCTTCAACCTGAAGGATAGAGCCTGTCCACCACTTACACTGAGAAGTGAGTCACCTCTTCTTTTTCTGGACCTTCGTCTGCCAGGCCCCCAGCACCACCTTCCTAACAATGATACCTATTGGCCAATGACATCGCCTGTTCTCTGCACACGCACTTCCAAGTTGGCAAGAGGCACCCCCATCTACTCTCTCATTTGATTTTATAACACCCCTGGGAAAGGAGGGAGTGTGGGGGCTGCCACCCCAATGCTGTACAGATATGGAAATTAAGGGCCAGAGAGGCAAAGCGACTTATCCAGGATCACACAGCTTGTCAGGAGATTAAAACCCAGGACCCTCTTCCTGAGAAGCCCTTGCTTCCTTCTCCATCACCTGCACCTTCTGCAAATCCCAGGGGTTGTACACCCCCCCAGGGCAGAGGGCATCTCGGAGTTAGAGCCACTGTCCGGCTAGATTAGTTTCTCGGTCTCAGCGCTAAGGACACGGTAACTCTGTTGTGGGGCTACTTTCTGTATTGTAGGAATTTGACAGCATCCCTGGCTTCTATCAAATGAATGCCAGTAACAACACCACCCCCAGTCATGACGACTGAAAATGTCTGCAGACTTTGTCAAATGTCCCCGGGGGAGGGCGGCAAAGTCACCAGCTTGAGAGACACTGTGGGGAGGGTGGCAAAGTCACGAGCTTGAGAGACTGTCCTAAACCAAACTGGTGTCTGGTGTTATCTGCGCACCTTAACCCATTTTCTTAAGAAGGAGCTTTATGTAGCCTTGTCAGGGCGAGTCTGTGGTTCTGTGAAGCAGCCTTTCACTCCCCACTCCCACCCACCACCTCCATCCCTCCCAGCCCCCACAGACACACAGCCCCACACTCCCAGGGACAGAGATACTGCCACCTTGTCCCTGAGGTCTTCCTCTGCCCTTAGCCAGGGATGCAGTTGGAAGACACTGGCCTTGGAGTCAGGCAGACTCTGCTCCTCAAACATGTTACTTAACCTCTCTGAGCCCCAATTTCTTCACCTATGAAATGGGGAGACTAGCTTGTGCAGATGGTTGAGCCAGCAGACATCAACAGATATTTATTGGGAGCCAACTGTAAGTGGAGGACTCTTGCAGGCATCGGGTGGTAAGACACCAAATGCCTGGTGCAGTGCCTGGCACACAGTAGGTGTTCTTTAAATGTAGCTCTACTTGGTGAGAGCTCTAGGCAGTTTAACTTCTCTCCTACTTGCTTCTGGTCCATCTTCGCTTATTTCTGCCCCATCCCCTGCTTGGCTTCTTCCCCAGTCTGATTCCCCCCAACACATTTGTGTGAATGCACACACAGACGCACGCATACATGTACACACTCCCCCCAGCCTCTGGCTGGCTCAAGGGCCGAACCTGAGACTAATCTATTGCCATGGAAACTGTAGCAGCTTCTGTTTCTCAGTGTGGTGGTGATGGTGGGGCAAAGGTGGGAGGAATACCAGTCTCTGATGAGGGAGGTGGGGTTAGGGATCCCCTGGGAAGCAGCAGCCCTGGCTGAGTACCAGCTCCCACTGAGGCCATCCTAAGAGTAACCAGTCCCTGTCTTCTCCCACACCCTTGTCCCATCCCAGGACCTCAGGCCCAGAGGAGACAGGAAGGAGCACCTCAGCCCCTGCCCCAAGGAGCCCCTATCTAATGGGGAGGGACAGTCCCTTCCCAATAAATGCTTGGTAGAGATGAAAAGGAACCCCTGATTAGCTGCTGGCCTAAAAGCCTGGGAAACCTTGTTCTATCTGTTATACCTAGTGAGCGCCCTTGCGCCCCATCTCCTGCCAGGCAATGCATATGTTCCCAGAGACACTAATTTAATATTCTTTCATTACAAAAATAATACACACTCGGAGTTTGCAATACAAACCCTTGAACAGTTCAGTAAAGTATAAAATAAAAAGTACCCTTCCCAGGGCCCCAACCCACTTGGTTTTGAGTGTTTCCTTCCAGAAATATTACACACACACATACACACACTCATACGCAACACACGTAGATGTTTTAAATCATCACATATACGAACTTCTCTCCAAATTACTTTTCTAATGTCCTCTTACTCCACTTTTTATATACAGTAAAATTACTGTCCTTGGTGAACAGCTCTGTGAGTTCTGAATAGTCATGTGACCATTTCTACAATCAGGATACAGAACAGTTGCAATTTTTTAAAATAAGCTTTATCTTGGACATCTTCCCATATTAGTTTTTTAAAAGCTGCCTCTTTCTCTGCAGTGTTGTGTGGTGTCCCAACAAGTGGATGTACCATAACTTATTTGCCAGCCCTTTTTGAAGCACATTTGGATTGTCTCCAGATTTGCACAAAATCTTCTGTTTTAACAAACAATACTGCAACAGATATGCAGTGCGTGTACACAAGTATTTGCCCCCTTGTGTACTTCCTCAGGATTCAATTTCTAAAAGTGGAATCGCTGGGTCCAAGGAGCCTGTGCCGTGTGAATGCTGACAGACAGCATGTGGCCACAGTGTCCTCCCACAGGTGCCCGTCAGAGCGCACGCTCCCACCAACAGTCCACGGGAGGCCCCATCGCCACACTGACCACACTGTGTGTCGTCACACATTTATATATTTGCCAGTCTGGAAGATGGAAAAAAGATCGTAATTCATTTTATTTTATTATTCTCACCCGAGGATATATTTTTATTGATTTTAGAGAAAGGAAGGGAGAGAGAGAGAGAGAGAGAGAGAGAGAGAGAGAGAGAGAGAGAAACATAGGTGTGAGAGGGAAACATCAATAGGTTGCCTCCCATACAAGCCCCAACCGGGGATCGAACCCAAAACCTAGGTATGTGCCCTAACCAGGGATCAAACCCGCCGCCACCACCTTTTGGTGCAGGGGATGACACTTCAAACCACCTAGCCCCCCGCCAGAGCTGTAATTCATCTTCATTTAGAGCAACGTTCGAGAAGCTGAGCATTTTTTCCCTTGGTTTATTGGATACTTTTTCTGTAAACTGCCTGCAAATGCCCTTAACCCATTACTTGATTGAATTCATCTCCACCCCCACCAGTGATTTATAAGAGCATTTTCTTGAAAATGAGCTTTGTCATGCACACTGCAAATATATTTCCCGGTTTATCCCTTGCCTTCCGGTTTTTTTTTAATACCAGCACAAGAATAGATAGATTAAATCCACAAAACAGAACAAAAAGTCCAGAAAGAAAGCCCAATTAGCATGAGAGCTTCTTCCCCATAGGGGCGGGGAAGTGATAAGCCCTGGAGACTCTGGAAATGAACCGCATTCAATAAACGGTGCTGGGATGTGGACAATTCGGAAAACCAAGGAAAAGGCTGGTTCCTATTTCCTTACACAAAAATAGATTTCATGTGAATCAAAGGTTTAAACAAACCAAAAAACTCTACAGGAATTTTTTTTTTTTATAGTGGGAAAGACCTTTTAAGCATGACATATGAGAAAACATAAGGAAAAGGTTAATTTTAAACACACACCAAAGTTTTAAACTTTAGGGCAAAAACCAGTCCGTTTAGATTATCCATGGTATGTGATTTTCCATGGTTTCCCGTGGTTTGGACTTAATCCATGGTTTGGGATCATTCACAATGATGTTTCTCATGGGTCCTGGAGAGCGGGCCATTTATCCTTGGGTACTGCAGGGGGAGCCGGGATGCCCAGGGAAAGAGCTGTGGTTGGGGCAGAGGGAAGGGGGCCAGCACCCTCCTCTTCCTCTTGCCCTCCTAGCCCTTCCTGAACAGTGGCCTGGACCTGTGCCAGGGCCCCAAACTCCGGGGCCCAGGGGCCCGCAGGCCCTCTCTGCTGCCGCAAGGCTGCCAGCCCTTCCTGCCCTCTGGCCAGGAGCCCCAGACCTGGAGCCCCGTAAGAGAGCTGGATCTTGGGTCCAGCCTGAAGCCTGCCTCCAACTGCCACAGCCCTGGGGACCTGGGTAAGTGTCCTCAGGGTCCAGGATCTGACTGGGGACAGGGAGGACTCCTTGGCTGAGGCCTGACTTCAGATGACAGGCCGGGAGGACAGATGCCTGTGCCCTTTGGGGGCTGGGGACAGTCTGCTGTGGCCTCTCTCCCGGAGGACCTCACCAACCCCACTCTTTCCCAACCAACCTGGCCCTTGGGCTGCCTGTGTCCCACCAGATGTCCTCCCTGTGGCGCATTCTCCTGAGAAGTGCCCCACCCCCATCCTACCTGACCCCCTCGGGGGCTGGCTTCCTGGGAGGTGGTCTGTCCCACTCTTGGGGACAAGCCCAGGCCACCCCACCTGTTTTAGGGAAGGAGTTTCAAGTTCCTTGGGGGTGGGGTGGGGGTACTGTGCTGTAGTTGCTTAGGGGTGTCTGTGCTCTGGGGAAGGGATGATGTCCCCTGGGGGCTGGCTCTCTGTCCCCCAGTTCAGAGCACTGCCCTTTTGTCCCTCCACCCACAGAGCCACCCCACCACCCCTCCTCTTTCGAGACGAAGACGTCGTCGGACTGGGAGCCCCCGGCCCAGCTGGAGGAGCAGGCCAGCACCGACGGGGCAGCCACCCCAGACCCCGTGCTGGGCAAGGCCGTAATCAAGGGCCTGCGCGACAGCCAGCGTTTGCAATGGGAGGTGAGCTTCGAGCTGGGGCCCCCCGGCCCCGAGCCGGGCGGCACGAGCGACCCCGACCTTTGGAACGAGACCTTCCACCACCTGGCGGCCCGCGCCATCATCCGCGACTTCGAGCAGCTGGCGCAGCGCGAGGGCGAGATCGAGCAAGGTGAGCG